GTGAATACATTTATGAAAAAAGCAAGCATGGGTCATGTAGGCATATAATCAAAATAAATGCAGATTATGTGGCATGGTCAGTTGAAGTGTTTTTGAAGCGGGGATTAATACAAACTGAACATGCACAAAATACGCATGTAAATATTTCTTCGTATTATGATTTACTCTCATCAAAGCAGTGCATGACACTTGAAACCATTCTGAATTAGAATATGAAGCAGTCACGTGGTTATGGCAAAATGAATCAAGCTCCGGTACAATGCTTCACTGTGAGAGGTTTCGGTTTTTTGATACAAGCTTCAGAAGCCTCGGTGCCGAACGTCACATCACTACAAAAACTTTAAAGGGATAGTTCACCCAAAAATGAAAATTAGCCCATGATTTACTCACCCTCAAGCCATCCTAGGTGTATATGACTTTCTTCTTTCAGACAAATCCAATCGGAGTTAAAAAATATCCTGGCTCTTCCAAGCTTTATAATGGCAGTGAATGGGTGTTATTTTTCAATAGTCCAAAAGAAGTCCAATAAAGTGCATCCATCCCTCATAAAAAGTGCCTCACACGGCTCCGGGGGGTGAATAAAGGCCTCCTGTAGTGAATCGATGCGTTTGTGTAAGAAAAATATCCATATTTAAAACTTTATAAACCGTAATCTCTAGCTTCCGCTAACTGTTGTACGTGCGTTCATTCCAGCGGATGATGTAGGCATAGCGTAAGCTCCGGTGAGAATATGCTAGTGTCGCGAGAACCAGCGTTTGTTAACAGGAGCAAAGGAAGCAAAGGAAAACCAGTCTCCTTTTGGCTTATATCGAAATCCTCCCACATTTTTTTTTTACAAATCCTCATTTTGTACTTCTAATTCGCCTACATCATCCGCCAGAATGAATGCGCGTACAACAGTTAGTGGAAGCTAGAGATTACGGTTTATAAAGTTTTAAATATGGATATTTTTCTTACACAAACACATCGATTTGCTACAGGAGGCCTTCATTCACCCCCCGAGCCGTGTGAGGCACTTATGATGGATGGATGCACTTTATTGGACTTCTTTTGGGCTATTAAAAAATAACACCCATTCACTGCCATTATAAAGCTTGGAAGAGCCAGGACATTTTTTAACATAACTCCGATTGGATTCGTCTGAATAAAGAAAGTCATACACACCTAGGATGGCTTGAGAGTGAGTAAATCATGGGCTAATTTTGATTTTTGGGTGAACTATCCCTTTAATATTACAAGTGAACCTCAATACACATATTAAAATAATAATAAACCCATGGCATGACCGCTTTAATCTTATAATTCTGTTAGTGGCGTTTCACATACAGTCATGTATGTTTTCCAACAAAATAAAAAGAACTTCGGTTTATGTTGTTTTGGAGGTTTTTGTATAATTATTTGTGGCTTGCTTTAGTTTTTCTTTATTTTCAAGCCCCGTCTGTTTGGAGTGTTTTAATGTGTCTGAAGGCAGCAGATGAAGAGCTGTAATGATGTTTGATTAAGTGCTCTGATGCCAGACAGGAAGTAATCCATCAGGCACGTGGAAGCTGAACGATATTTACTGAGGTCAGGCCTGTTTCTAAAACACAGCAGTCATTTCAGGCGTTAGATTCAGTCCAGATCTGACAGAAAACAACACGTCTGCAATAAATCACTTCAATTAATGTCCGAATGTGGTTCACATATTAAAGACACAGTTCACTCAAAAATGAAACTTCGGTCATCATGTACTCATCCTCATGTTGATCAAACCTGTTTGAATTTCTTTCTTCTGTTGAACACAAAAGAACAGCTTCTGGTCCCCACTGACTTTCATTTTTTTCATACTATGGAAGTCAATGGGGACCATCTGGGCAACTCTTTGGATCCCAACATTCGTCAAAATATCTTCTTTTGTGTTGAACAGAAGAAAGAAACTAATACAGATTTGGAACAACATGAGGGAGAGTAAATGATGACAGAATCTAGGTGTTTGCCCTGTCACGACACAGAATGAAGCGCTCGGTGATGAAAGCCTGTTTCTCACTGCCTCAGCTTGAGCTGAGATCAGGGTTCATCTGAGCAGATGAAGTCCTCTAGTGGTCAAAACCCGGTTGGACTACTGAACTAATAAGTGCATGTTAATGTTGATTTGAGATCATGCAAAAATAAGTATAAAATAATGGCCAGATCAACTGATAAACTAAATTCACGTTTAAAACATGTTCACATGCTGATCGGCATCCACAACACTTCTGCTCTTCATGCAGATGTTTCTCTAATGTTTGTTTGCACGGACGAATGGAAGCTCAAACACTGAATAATCACTGTACATGACACACTAAAGATTCAAATATAAATCCACACAATCTCTTTATTGTTCTCTAGGTTCGTACAACATTGAACTTCAGTAAAGACTCACAAATAAAAGCTAATGAAGGAAATGTACAGCGATGTCAGGACGTCAGAATTTTACAAACGGATAGAAAATGTTTATTAGCTCCTCGGAAATAGAAAAAAGTTTCAAGCACATTCCATTAATCTGTGGTTGCTTTATTCTGTACATGTATTGTTGTTAATAGACTATAAATAAACGACTTCATTCGTGTAGTAAATGCACAAACACATTCATATAGGAGTCAACTGCAGAAGCGAATGAAATGCTCGTATATTCTAAACGAATAGAGAACATGTGAAGGACACTTACCATGATGTTCAGCGAATAGAAATATAATATGAAATAATTCTGCTCTTCTCATTCAGTCATTTGTTTCAACAGCAACACACAAAGAACATATAAACTCTTCACCTGTGTGAGTGCGTTTGGAAAAGAAGCTGAGACAAAATTATTTTATACGTCGACATTTATATACTCATACTCTATTAATTATTATAGGTGAAAAGAAAAGGATAAAATGTAGCGATTAAACATACAGGAGTTCAAATAACGGTACAGAAATGACTAAGCATGCGACTGATTCTCTCACACACACACACACACTCTCACTCTCACACACACACACACACTCACTCACACACACACTCACGCACACACACGCTCACGCATGCTCACACTCACACACACTCTTCTCACACACACACACTCGCACTCGCACACACTCACTCACACTCACTCACGCTCACACACGCTCACACACGCTCACACACGCTCACACTCACACACCCGCTCACATTCACACACCCACTCACACTCACACACTCGCACACGCTCATGCACGCACACTCTCACGCACACACGCACGCTCACACTCACACACACTCGCACTCACACACACACACACACACTCTCTCACACACACACACTCGCACTCACACACTCGCACTCACACACACTCTTCTCACACACACACTCGCACACACACACACTCTCTCACACACACACACTCGCACACACACACACACACTCACACACAGACACTCACACTCTCACACACTCACTCACACTCACACACACACACACACACACACTCACACACACACA